GGTGACGGACAGGTTCTACAAGCCTCAGGAGTGAACGCGGACGTTCACTCTTGAGGGGAGGGTGATGTGGTATAACCCCAAACGGAAATTAGATTAGGATCGGATCAGGGACAGTAAGGCAACGAGCCTTACAGCCATGCGCGCACACACGTGTCCTCCACGTGTACGGGACGCGTACTACACGTGGACTGTCATCCCCGCCGGCTGACAGCGTTACAGTGTCGGTAGACCGGCACTACTGTGGAGTTATGATAGACTACAATGTACATTAAATATGAGCGGACCGCCGGCGGTGGAGGACGACAAGCACGGACTTGTCAAGGATCCTCCACCTTGATCCGCCCGCTTACTTTGAGGTACTTCCTTTAGTTACCTTAGAGTAGCACCGCGCGCGGGTTGATGACGCACGCTACACGCCCACGAGCCGGCTCCGCCTCCGCCCGTCGGTACTGGATCGTCACCCAGTACCGCTCCGGGGCGTCGAGGCGTCGAACCGCTCGCGCGTGCGCACGTCCTCCCCGATCCCGCTCTACCACCGCTACCTCGAGCCCGTGCTCGGTACCGTGGGTGGGCCGTGCTTCTATCTTCTCGCCGATCGGGGTCTTTCCGAACTGTCAGTACTCACCCCCCTCGTCGTTGGGGGTGATTATACTACACAAGGGTAGACCATCTCAACTGCGTAGAATTAAATCGACCTGAAAGAAATGCAAGAGGTGCATGCCGCTTTTCTTCATGGGGAAGGTTAACGTCCGACATCGGTATTTGAGTAACAATTCCCGACCAGACGGAGTCCGAAGCATCGGTAAAAACGCACAACCGTTTTAGCGGGTCACGATGAGATCGCTTGACTTGAGCCGCTAGGGCATTCTTGCAATTTTGGAATGTAAATTCATGTAATTCCAACCATCCAACGTGGGCTAAGTCAACTCGCGCGACCCGAGTCTTAGTACGCTTTCCCGCTCGGGCATATACTTCTCCCATCAGGAGATGTAGTGGTTCAATAATCCGATTGAATTCGGGAATAGCAGTTTTCATCCATTGAAACGCGCAAAGAAACTGCTGCAATTCAGACCCAGTTATTGGTGAGGACATTTCCAATAACCCGTTAATTCGGCGAGGATCGAAGCGAGTTCCATCCTTATCAATGAGACGCCCGCACCAGCGGATGGTGGTCGAAAAGAACGAGGATTTTCCCTGGATGCAACCGAAGTCGAGAACGGTCGCAAATATCGAAAAACCTTTTTAGGATATCGAGGTGTCCCTCGATGGAGGTGCTGAATAAAAGTACATCATCGAGCCAGGTGATGGCATGCCTTTTTAGGATAGGGTCGCTGCTTATTAAAGCGTCGATTTCAGCTTGCATGTGCATCGTCGCATTGGATGTCCCATGCAGCACCCTTGTAGGAGAAAAAAGCCCATCGGAAGTAATAAATGTTTGAGTTTCCTGACTATCCGGATGTCGCGGAAGTTGCCAATACCCATGGGAAGAATCGAATGTTCCGAAGTATTTGGCCCCAGCCAGTTTGCTTGATTCAACTTCAACATCCGGCGTCGGGAATTGATACTTGGTAGTGTACCGATTAACGGGTCTCAGATCCACCGTGAATCTAAAACGGGATGGTCCCGGCTTCGGTACAAGAAGTGGAGCACACGCCCATTTGGCGGAAGGATTGGGGTATATCATTCCTTTCTCTTGGAGCGCCCTGACAAATTCGGTGAGAAATTCTCGTTGGTAGCGTGAATAATTTCGCAACTTAACGCGGGTGGGTTTGGCATCTGTGGTCAGGTCAATCCGCAAAGCGGGAATATTTGCAGGTTCACCTGCAGAGAGTCCAACGCGGAAAATATTGAGATGGTTCTTAACTAACTTCCGGAGTCGTGTAAGATGAGGTCCTTGAAGTCCATTTTCCCCAGCTTTCGTCAGAATTTTTTCGATAGCATCTTCTATTTCGAAATGCTGGTCTTTTGTCAACCCTATCGAGGAGAGATTAGTCATGAAAAGGATCAAATTCCTTCCGAGATTGGAAATAATCAACGCGTGGGCGGATTGGGTCCTGATTAGGAATGAATTGTTCCACGTCCGTGGAGCGCATCGTCATTATAGCGCTAACATGTCCCGGATTTCCGACAACAGTGGGATTACCCACATCGGCACAATCTGTCCCGTCGAGGGTTTCGCGATTACACTCAAGAAGAGTTTTGGTGTCAACACGCATGTGTTTTAACACAGGACGACCAATTAAAATCCCACCAGCTGTGAAGTCATCGTCCGCAACAAGGAAAGATATGTTGAGGACGGCGAGCCTCCCTCAGGATAGCTGTAAAACAGTGCGCAGGACAGTCCAAAATTTGGAAAAGGTGAATGTTTGGGGTTTCTTATCCCTAGTTAGGGCAACTTTGAAGGAGACAGGTGCAATTCTCTTGAAGGAACCTATCCCGTTCAATACAGCGTTGTTTGCCACGTCTGGAGAAGCCAGACTATCATGTGATCCATCATCACATTGTCCGGTAACGGAAACAGAAGAAATACCATCTTCCAGATTGATAGATACTCGAGGAGAGTCGGAGGAAAAAGAAGAAAGTTTTCCGGAAGACGGTGCGGTTTTCTTACCCTCATTTGAGGTTTTGGAACGAGTATTTTCCGAGGGTCGGGATTTAAGATTTTTCTTCATCTTCTCAATATCAGAAGGATCCTCCAGACAATCGGAAAAGAAGTGCTGTTTTTTATCCTTCGCGCATCTTGGCATAATGCAGTACGGAGGCAAACGCCCAGATTTTCTTGGTACGACCCCGCCATCAGTGGACCTTAGAGGTGTAGCTTGCCTGGAGTCGGTGGGATTCCCATACGTGGTATAAATGGTTCGATCGTGTCTAAGTTTCCGATTATGCCCACTGTCCACTAGTTGGAATGCATCTGCGAGCTTGATGGCGTGAGCCATAAATCCCTTGAAATCCTTCCGAAGGTTGTACTTGAAAAGTTCAAGATCTTCCAAAAGACGGTCGCGAAGCGACTTTGGATTGATGGTAGATAATACATGCTGCATAGCAACCCTTTGACTCTCTTGGAGGACCCAAGAAAGACCTGCTTTCCTCAAAAGAGTGTCATAAGAGAAAAAAAGACCTTGCATGCGCGAAGTTGCGAAAGGGTCACTCACGTTCATCGAGAGCTGCTTCTCGACCATCTTATCGAGAGTTGATGAGGTAACCGTCTCCTTCGAGGACTCAGATTTTTTATCTAGGTACGTCCGAAGAATCGGGTCTGAAAGATCTCCCAAACTGGTGACGCCTTCGTTAAAACCAAGAGCGATGGAAGATTGTAGGTACTCCGAATCAACACAATACTTGAACTGAACCGAGCGGGAAGTTGTATCACCGTATTGGGCAGC